CACACACACACACACACCAACTCAACATACCGCTCACCGCATAGTTTTCAAAATGTTTTACCACACATCCGTCAACGCGAATCTAGGTCACACATGTTCGGTTGCCTCGACCTTGCATGTCAATGTAAACCAGTAAGGCTGGGCGATAAAATCGATTCCAAAACCGATTCTCACTATTGTTGCTAAGGAAGAAAAGTACCGATTACGTTTTTACATAAACCAACAGTTACCTAATACTTTAATTATTAATTATTACTGTTAAATAATAATTAAACAGAGAAACAAGCAAGCAAACAAATAAAGGAAGAAGAAAATGGTGATACCACTCAGTGCATTGAAGTTGAGGTTACGGGCATGAATCCTGAAGCTGTAAGGAACCGGCCAAGTAACCGGTAACTGGCTGGGTGTTGAACTCATCAGAAGTAATCATGGACTCGTCGGAAGTAATCAAGCAATTGCCTGACATATTGGAAGTTATCACAATTGGCAGGAAGTAATTAAATTAGTTATTGTCTAAACGTGGAGCTCATTTGAAATAATTACTACACGCTGGAAGTAATCAAGTGATTGTCTAAGTGTCGAACTCAAAGGAGGTAATCACTTTTTGCGGGAAAGATTCAGGTAATTGTCTATATGTGGGACTCAAAAGAAGTAATCACAATTGTCTGGAAGTAATCATGTTGTTCTCTAAGGGTCGTATTCAAATTCAGAAACCAATACTCGCCTGAAATAATCGAATAATTGTCTTTGTGCCGTACACAACGGGAGTAATCACTATTATGTTGGAAGTAGTCGAGTAAATATCTAAATATCTGATACAAAGGTAATGGCCACTTTTTGTCGAAAATAAAAAAATAACTATTTAAATGTGGAACTCAACGCAAGTAATCACTACACGCTGAAAGTAATCAAGTAAATATCTAAGTGCCGGGCTCTACTTAAGGAAGTAGATCTAATCACAATTGCCTGGAAGTAATCATGTTATTGTCTAAGGGTTAGAGACAACAAAAGCAATCACTACTTGGCCAAGTAATCAAGTAATTGTCTACGTGGCAGACATAATGGAAGTAATCACTATTATCTTGAAGTAATCAAGATAATATCTAAGTGTCAGACACAACGAAAGTAACCACTTCTAACGGAAGTAATTATGCAATTGTCTAAATGTGGAACTCAACGGAAGAAATCAGTCCTCACCGGAAGTAATTAGGTAATTGTCTAGGAGTCAGACTCAATGGAAAGCAATCACTACATAGCGGAAGTAATCAAGTAATTGTGTTGGGTAGTAGGGGTGGTGGAGATTGTAATCAGAAGTAATCACTACTCGACGGAAGTAATTAAGTCATTGTGTTTGGTAGTAGGGTTTGTGGAGATGCTAATCAGAAGTAATCACTACATAGCGGAAGTAATCAAGTAATTGTGTTGGGTAGTAGGGGTGGTGGAGATTCTAATCAGAAGTAATCACTACATAGCGGTAGTAATGAAGTAATTGTGTTGGGTAGTAGGGGTGGTGGAGATACTAATCAGAAGTAATCCCTATTCGACGGAAGGGATCAAGTAATTGAGTTGGGTAGTAGGGGTGGTGGAGATGCTAATCAGAAGTAATCACTACTCGATGGAAGTTATCAAGGAATTTCCTGTGTATCACAGGGGG